TAAAGGCTGCTACCCAAAAAGGCTGTTGGAACTGTGGGGAGCAAGGGCATACGAGGAGCCAGTGTAAGAAAAATACAACTAAGTCTAAGCGCGATAGAGAGTGAGTGAATTATTGTGAACTATAGTGTGTGTAACTGTGAAAATTAAGTACATTACAAAGTTGTATTGAGGAAGAATAAACAAGTTTTATAAAGAAAGGACTTGTATCTTGTAAGAATTAACAAGCAAACATACAGAGACGTAACAATATAACTCTTACTGGCTAAGTAATAACAGATACTGAATTGAATCACTCACTGATTACTCACTAACTTACTAATTAAATATGTCACTGAGTCTACTATTGGTACTAGTCACTTATTTATACACTCGAAACTTATAGGATATACAGAGGCCTTAACTTAAATGAAATTTCGAGATATGTATTATCATTGCATAATGACACTGTTACGACAGCGGAAGTCGCGTGACTCTGGAAGCATGCGCGCTGGAGTTTCTCGAAGGATCATGAATTACGAGTAACCCCGCGAATGCCCGAATGTTTGCTAGACGCCCTCTTTTTTAGTTGGCGAGAAAAACCAGCGGTACCGGAGATATAGATAATTGAGTCAAGCGAACAGTAGGCACCGTAATTAAAATGTTAAGTTTAAAGTGACTCTGGAAATTCTGTGTATTACTAAAAGTTGTATCAAGAAAGAATAAACCAGTTTTAATCAAGACAGGACTTGTATCCCAGAAGTTCTTCGGAAAGAATTTCTATCCGAAATTAACAAACAAGCAGATACGTAACAACACGTTTTCTCTAGCAAACAAACATGTAAATTAAAATATTAAAGATATAGCTTACAACAATAGCATTCGTATTATTAAATAATTATGGTCTTTGTGACATGGAAATGATCTAAGGTTAAAATTTTCTAAGTTTAAAAGAGTATTTTCTGTTTTTATTATTTCACGATCTTGTGTTGCTAGTCATTTTACAAATTTATACAATCAATTATTAAAGGTTTTACTTGTAGGGAATATATTTATACACCTCGTTGTTAAATGAACATTTATTGTTTATTTGTCTATTTGGGCACAAGATTAAAATACCATAAATACACAGATGATTTAAAAAATTATATTTATTTATTTGATTGGTTTTAAAGTTTAAATTTAGAATACAGGGAAGGATAAATGTCGTATGTGAAATACACCATATGTTTCTCTAACTTATGATCTGAACATTTTTTGTTGACCAAAATGGTCAAGATTTTCCCCAACAAATAACATGGGTGACATATGCATTCTGGGAGACTTGACCCTATCCAAATAAGTATGTAGTGGTTGATTTTTTCAAACTTATCCAAACTTTTGTTTAGAATAGAATAAGAATATTTCATCCAACGTATTTGTCAACTCATTGATTTTTTAATCTTTTTCTTGTATACAGATAGTTAAAGTAGTTTTGTCAT